TTTAATATCCCAAACAGATTTTTTCCACGTTCTTTTGGTGGCCTGTCAAGCATAATTAACAAAAAAATCTAAATCTATTCAAGAAGAAGACATTTGTCTTCCCGGCCCATGTCCAAGGACACCAGAGCTCGTGAAACATGAAGAAAGGTTAGAGCAGTAGCTCTGGAATAACATTTCTTATTCTTTAGAGAAGTCTGTATGGCTAGCAAGACAAGCATTTTTGCAGGCTTATAAATCTGAATCTTTAAGTAGTTAATAGGAGCAAGATGCTTTTCTTTCTTATTAAACAAAATTGTTAAAAAAGAGCTGTTGTGTGACTATCTTTTGTTATAACATACATAAGCCTTATTAGATTTTTTTTTTTCTGCACGAAAGACTGGAATATAGGTAAACAGTCATGTTCTGCATGTTGTGCTTACTAATGAAATGTTAAATATGAGATAAAAAATCGGGAAAATTTTTGAAAAGAGGAAACTGCTAATCTACTTGCCTGAAGAGGGACATTATGTTTATTTATCTTGATGCTGTTCTTCAATGAGCTCTGGCTCCATTTTCCATTCAGTGCGACTGGAGCTTTCAGTGTTGTTCCACTCATAACCTTAACAAAACAAATTATGAAATTTCATGACATAACGGTTCAAGTATATAACCGTTTTGTAACAATACAGACAACAACTGTTTTTCATGTATGTATCCCACAGCAAAGAATAAAGTCTGATCTCCTTTTACTGTAAATCCACTGCAGTGCCATTCATGGCTTCAGTTCAGTTGCTCCCAATTTGCCAAGGCACAAGACCCCTGCATTTTGCTTTTTTTCTTCTAGGAGAAACAAAACACAGATTTCCAAGACACATTAATGGCAGAAGAATATCATATGTGCTGATTATTTGAACGCTAACAGGATATAATAAATCCTGAGTTCTCTTTCATTGGGTTATTATGAATGAGATACTCTGCTTCTACTCTGCTGCTTACACAAGCACTGTCACATACTTTTGAATATATAGTACCCTATTCATCCCACCTGTCTTCAACATCTAAAAATCAGAAATCTCATCCAAGCTAACCATCCAGATTCTCTCTATAGGGAGAAATCAGAACCTCTGCAAGGGGTGATTCTTTCCATTCTATAATAGGCAGGGTACTCTAAGCTGTGGATGTGCTGATCTATTTCCATGGCAGGAACCTAAAATCCCAGCTAGACTGTTCACAATAAATCATATCAATATCATAAATGATATGCACTTACAGTAACCAAAACTTTGGGCAGTTAAGAATCAATATTCTTTGGACTGAAAAGAGTAAGCAAAAAGGTAATGATACGTAGTTCAGCAGAATAAGTAAATGGTTGCAGTACTCACTGGGTAGAATACTCTCTTCAGCTGGGCTTCCCAGCTATTGCCAAAAGGGGAATGGAGTTGGGTAGGTAGCAACACAAGCCATGTCAAAAAAACAAATTGAGCAGCAGAGAGTTAACAGTAGAAAGTCAAAGCATGTGACTTTAAACATTTGCTAATGCTAATGGCGTTTGCTTTATCAATGCCACTGCTAAAGATAGACTTGTGTTTACCTCATATATAGGAATAGATCCAAACACCACACCAGCCTCTTTGTTTCCAGTCTTGAAACTTTCCAAAGGTTGTCTAAGCATCTGAACACAGGAAAAAAAAGTCAGTTCATTACTAGCTAAAAATTAATTCAGAAATGTTGACAAATATTACTTCTATTATTGAACTATATGATAACACTCATGTTATATGAAGAAATGTATGTATTATGTATGTAAATGATTATGTAGAGAGATTGAGGTTTATGCACAGGTTTCCTTTGTATCACATAAAGACTGGAAAATTTTAATCAAAAATTAGAAGGGGATCGGTCTTCTGCTATAAAAAATGTGCAATTAGCAAAATTTAAACTTTCCAAGGAACACAAAATCAAGGTAGTTAATAGCAAAATGATTTTTATCACCTATGTTGCATCTAGTTTTAAACACTTGCATAGGTTTGTCAACTATTAGCACCTTGCATAAGCTCAATATAGGAATCACTTTCAGGGAACTTGTCAGATTTGGTGGATGCATGCTGTTAGAGGACAGTGGAGTCTAGCCAAGGATAATAGAGTAGACACTCCTTTGCAGATGACAACTTCATCTCAGGGCAGTCAGTCATTCTCTTGGGCTATGCAAATCAAGAATGCTTCAGTTCATGCTTCAGCTGCCAGTTAGGAACAGAAATAGATGAATTAAAAGGCATTTCTGCTGTAAGGTGTAGAAAACCTTGAAGCTGTGAAAATTCTTCAAATACTTTGGTAGTTCATTCATTCGCACATGAAATAGGAGACTTAATAAGGTAATAGGTACCTGCCCTTATAGACAGGGCAGGAAAGGTAACTGTCCTAAGAAGATGTAGCAATGCTTTCACCTGGCAGGGCAATTCATAATCCACTGCAAGGAAAAAAAAAAAAAAAAAAGCTCCTCAAGCAGTAAATACTGCAAAGAATTCTTGTTTTCATCAATGCTGTAAATACAAGTTTTGTTGGAAACAGTACATTGTAAAGAAATTTTCTAGTTATTTTTTTTTCACATTCATTCTAAATACACAGCTGAGTGTACTGCAATATTTTAAGAAACACCACATCTTCTGTAATGTAAAACATTCCCCAGTGAACCCATCGCAGTTTCTGTCAGTTTTGAGCATGCTGGCTTCAGCATGATATGCCAACTGAGTTACACTGAATTAGTGAGATGCTCCAGATATTTACAGAGCTACCGAAAATCACACCTCTAGGCTGAACTGCAAACTAAAGTCTATGGATTTGTTCCTCTTTAAGGGAAATGGAAGCAAATCAATCTTTTTTGTTGTTGTTTTCTCATTGACAGCCTAATCAGAAAGGAATCCACCACTAATGTGTCTGAACATGCAAGTATTTTGTATTCTGATGTTTTCAGTGAGTCCTCTTTTCAAATGACTAGGAAAAGTAAAACCTGAAGTACAACCCAACTCTACTGACTTTCCCCACAGTGTGCTGAACCACTGTTAGATACAGCTACAACAGTGATAACAGATTTTGTGTTTTATACACAGCAGCAACATATTTTTCCTAGTAACACTCTCATTTTACCAGAAGAACACGGAGAGAAGTAACCTGTCACACAGAGTAATATCTTTTGCTGACTGTTTAGCCTTTATCTTGTCTCATTAGGCTAACATACTGGGATATAAAGAAGTCTCATAGTAATGCAAAGTTTAGGTGAGGATGTTAATTCACCCCCATCACTTTGTTGGTCACGGGGGAATAATGGTTGGGAAGGTGTTAAGGGAAGTTTTTTGGCAAGCGGCCACAGGATTAGTATTTTTTATTTTTTCTTTTCTTGTTCAACTTCCACAAAGAAGCCTTGTTTGAATCCATGACTTCTGAATGCTAAGCCAGGTGAAAAAAAAAGGAGCTGCACCATTTTTCAGTCAGAGCTTTAGGAGCCGTACCATTAATCAGTTAGCGCTGTAGAAAATATTTGTAGCGACACCTGAACGGACTCAGAACCCCCTGAAGTCCAGTTTCATGGGAACCCTGAAAAAACTGTTGCATATAACCAGGGATCCATTGATGTTATCATATTTTCACATTTCCAACAGCTAAGCCTATGGTATTTAGAATTTCTGTTGGAGGATATGTTCTAGCTTTTTCTTGAATGAGAAGGACATAGAAGATTATTATGGTTGTTTCCTAGTATGTTGCATAGAACTGATGCATATATATCAGTAACCTTCGGAGAAGCCAAAGCTCTGAAAAACTTGAAGTCCTGAAGTATATCTTCATGTTCAGGCTTATTTAAAACCAAAGATGATCTGGTCAGTGACTTCCACCTGTAAAAAAGACAGAAGACAACAGAAAAAAATCATCCCATCAAAACGTCAATATCCAAAAGTGAACACATACACATTCATATCTGGCTTTAAAATAAAATTATTTTAAAGTATAAAATATTCCTCAAAACATAATTTATATTAGGAGTTTCATAGGTGTCATGAAGAGCTTCACTAACATCTCATCAATCCAGATACTGGCTTGTCAACTGTAGGAGGCTGGATATGTTAACTTAAGAAATACTAGTTATTACAACTGAGTACTAACTTGCTCAATGTCTAATAATGACTCTTAACATTTTTATCAGTTCTGACTACAGTTCCTCTATACCACCTTCATAACACAGTTTCCTCTGTTCATATACCTAGCTTCCAAAGTTGATCACAAGACAAAAAGATCTAGAGGAGAGTGTCTATTGGTGCAGCTTAACACGGTTTCATTTATAGTCAGAAAAAATACGTCACATCAGACAAGCTAAAGACGTGGAAACTATGGTGAAAAATTTAGATCCTTTTTCTGCATAGCACTGCTGAAATTTTTCAGTAGGTCACCTGAGTCACTAAGACTATTAACTAGAAGGCTTTTCATTAAAAATTTGGAAGTGCCATTATCAACTTGTGGAAACACAATGAAAACAGGCTCCTAACCTGAACAATGTACACAACGCAGTCTAATTAAGCTAAAATTTGGGGCAATTATCTAGCCATCACTATTACTATAGTCAAATCCTGATCATTACCCAATCCATAACAACTAAGAGATTTCTCCGAAGTTCATAAAATCATTACAAAAGGGTTATACTTCATAATTAATAGGAAATATTGATGTTTTTCTGACCAACAGGTTGACAGGTGTTTTGTGAAATCTAATATTTTCAGATATGTTCCACAAATCACACACGTATGTAAATATTTGAAATCTTACTTTTCCCTGTCCAGTATTAGAGGATATTCAGATTTCTTCTTCTTTTCCATGTATTTGCTTTCCTCTTTAATTATTGTTGGAAATTTATTAATATCACAAGGCAAAATCAGCTCACTGATCTCTGATAATTCAAACTTCCTGGGCTGTCCAAAGTAACCAAGATAGTATCCATTCGTGGCATGCCAGAGCCTACATACAGAGTAGAAGCAGTGTCAAAGGAGAGAAGAGAAAAATTTTTAGAAGTGAAAAAAAAAAGAAATCTCTCTATTTGATAAAGTTCCATAGAACTGCTCCAGAATACAGTATGTGAGCCATAAAACATTATCAATTGAAACTGAAGTTGAATGTTAAAATGTAACTTGAGAGTAGAAAAAAATCAAAAGGATGTTGTAAAAATCGGAAAACAAGCAAACAGGTCAGTTCTATAATTAATAAATAGAAGAGTAGAGACACAAACATCCTGAACTGTCCTGCAATAAGTTGCTGCCACCACAGCAGGATGCTCTGTATCAGAAATTCCTGAGTGTTACTGATTGCCAAAAACATCCTAAAATATCTCTTCAAATCTACTTGCTAGCCAAGAAGGAACTGCGCAGTTGTCTATAAAGCAACTTTAGGCTGAAATTATTTACTTTGCCAGACAAAATATTTAGAAAACGTGCTAACTTAACAGGTTTTGAAATCTAAAACTGAATCAGGCAGAGCAGGAGCTTATTTCCAAGGGCTTGTTAGTCATGCATTCAAAATCAACTCACTGAAAGAAAATGACAGTTTATAAGAGGTGTAACTTCCTGGGAAGAGTAGGAATGTTTCCTTAAAAAATCAGTTCTTACATGTGCAGGAAACAAAGTTTACCCAATGTTATATCTTATTTAAGTTCTGAGTTATACGTAAGTCCAGTAAGAACAGGAACTTTGGAGACAGTTCAATTCACTGGACACAACAGTAAGAAATAGTAGCAATTTTTGTACCTGACTGAACCATCAATAGATGCAGTCGCTACCACATTTTTCTCTTCTTCATGAAATAAATCAACCACTTTGGTAGAGTGTGCCCTCCAGCAGAGCTCCTCCTTTACTTGCTGAGGGGGAAAAACACCACAACCACATTTCAGGCAGTCGTGTGTGCTACCACATTTACTATCCGAGTAGGTTATTAAAAGAGATAAAATAATACATCTGCAAACAGGTTGCAGGTGGCATATGGCAGAAACACTGTTTGGGGGATGTGGATAGATTTTTTAAATAGCCTCTTTCAACACAATGGAATAATTCTAGCAGCACTTTAAGTACATTTTTCTGTTTTTTCACAGGACCAAGTTATTATGCCAAGCAGAAGATATGACCTTTATGGGCAGGAAACATTTTAAGGCCCTCTAGAGCTCTGCATCCATTTTTCACTATTTGTCGTACCAGAACAGAATACTGGTCAGGTTAAGAAAATGTAAATTTTTTCCTTACATTTTTACTGTCCTGTAGATCTTTGAAGAATGAGCCAATGCTCCAGCGCATAATATAACCTTCTGTTTAAGACAGGAAAAAGCAAAGCATGAACAGATTTCATTAGTGCTATATAAACTATTAGTGCAGATAAACTCTTGGATTTTCTGCCAGATGAAAGCCAAATTCAGTGTGAAATTAATAGCTGGACAATGAGCAGAGACCACTAGTGCTTTCCTTCCTGATATTGCTGTGCACTTTTGAGGTCATTACTGTGCAGTATATGCACATCAGTGACTGAAATGTGTCTCTCGGTACAGCCATAGCAGCAGTTTTTAGTTATGGGAACCTGTTCTCAGGGATGTGAAAATGTTATTATCATTAAGCTTTAACCTACTATCCATGCATACAGAAAACATTCTTCTTGATTATTTTAATGATGGCTTTGATAGAGAAAGGATGGCAGTCTTAGTACCTTCTCTTCTGTATTTCTGGCACATTTACAAAATAATCTTTTGTGGTCCTATAAACTGTCTTGACAAGAATGACTGACGTATTCACTCACCTTTACTGCCTGCCAGAAGAATGTTAGTAGAGATATCTGTGCACAGTGCTGTCAGAGAAACTGAAGGATATTTCGAAAAGGGCAAAATTTCTTTCAGCAAGTTTCCCTAAAATACAGTAATTAAATAAACACACATAACATCTTTATAACATCTGCAGGAAAAAAAAAAACAGTGTAGTAGCTGAATGTTGTTAAATATACGCAGCCTTATCCAACCCATTCAGAAAGCTGCTGGAGAGTTTTTTCTATAATCTACTGAATGACTAAGATAACTGGGGTGTACTCTGTTAGATTGCCATCTTTTCTACATCAATATCACAGACTGTTTCACTTTAGAGCCAATCCACAGCTCATCTGCACCCATCCCTACGTCCCTGGTCACTTCTCATTTGCTATGAAATATCATCACTATGTATCACATTTGCTACTGAAATGTCTGTTCTTCCTTCAAACAGACCCATAACGCCTCCTTCACCTCCTTGTTATATACTCAAAAGGACCTTCTCCCTTTCTATTCCTTCAGTCTTTGGTGGAGGTGAGGAAGAATATCTTGCCGATAAGTAGACTCTTGCCTGGCATCCAAGAGATGATGATGGTGACTTTGATGTACCAATAATGAAGACAACAAAACCAAACATATTTCACACTTACTGTACTTGTGAAGATTTATTATTGTATTCTATTTCTGCATAAAATGTTTCTGAAAGTTTCTCCCTATGACTTGCCTTTGCTGGTATACGTTTTAAAGCCTGATGTGGCTGAGGTATGATGATCACTGTCTACTGTGGTAGCCCATATTATCTGACCATATCATGGTACTCCATTCTCTTTCTGTATTACTTTTTTCTTTCTTGTTTAGAGTGATGCTTTCTGGAGCTGAGCCTGAGGTGATAACAATACCTAAGCCATTGGCAGCCTATTGAGTGACTGACTTTACAGTCTGAATGAACCTACAGGTCCCATGCGTCATGATAATATTATTTTCTGATTTTAACTCTGTTAGTCTCATTTGACTAGCTGACTTGCGCAATGCTGCACTCATCACAGCATCAGGATAATTGAAGTTGGAAGGCAAGTCTGGAGATCACATAGTATGATCCTGCTTCTCAAAGCAAAGTCAGGCTGAGCAGGTTGTTCAGGATCATGTCCAGTTGGCTTTGAATATTCCCAAGAATGGAAACTCCACACACCCTTACACCCTTATAATAAAAAAAGTTTTCTTACATTCAAATTGAATTTCCTGTATTTCAGTTTGCGCCCATTGCCTCTTGTCCTGTTACTGGATGCCACAGAGAAGTCTGGCTCAGTCGTCTTTACTCCCATTGGTATTTACACACAGTGATAAGGTCTCCTCAAGCCGTCTCTTCTTGAGGCTGCACATTCCGAGCTTTCTTAGCCTCTCTTCATATGACAGATGTTTCAATACCTTAATCACCTCTGAGGCCCTTCAACCCTTTGCTGGACTTGAATGGACCACTCTGGATGTGGAGGTAGAGAAACACCTCCCCCGACGTGCTGGTCTTCCTAATGCAGTCTGGGATACTGTCGTCCTTTGTGGTGCTGTCACAACTTGTTGTACTTCAGAACCCACGGATCATTTTCTGCCAAGCTGCTTTCCGGCTGACCAGTCCCCAGCATGTACTGGTACATGGAGTTACTCTTCCCCAGATGCAGATGCAGGTCATCATTGATTATCATTACAGGGGACAGGGTGCATTATGTCCAAATAGTTTCTGAGAAAGTTTGCTAGCTAGACATATTTCTCCTGTCCTAAAAGCAGGATACGACACCTTGCCTATCAACCCCCTTAGAAAGTAAATGAAATGGGTGAAAATTTGACTATTGGAGTTTACACAGACACTAGACACAACTCTACAGTCAGTTTTTCCATAATTGTTCCTTGTCATGTGTTTCCTCATTTTTCATTTGTCATTACTCTCTACCACAGTTGAAAAAGCAGAAGTAATTTGTGCTCATGGAAGAACTATGAACCAGAAAATGCAAGCTATTGCAAGTTACTGCTATTTACCAGAAAGCATGTTACAAAAACTGGCAGAATTACCTTCTCCTTTTATCCAATCTCATCCCAAAGCCATTCAGATAGCTACCTGAATACTCCATAAGTAGATATAGCCATTTTCATGAGCAGAAGCCAGTACTGGTGAGTATCCCATTACAGCTTTGGAGAATAATACGTTCTTCTCCCAGTGCTGCACATTCTGATAGGCTGTTGTGTCTTTTTCTGCTTTGGAACACAAATGGCAATACATGATCTCAACACATTTCTTTTTTGCACTGGTTTCCAATATACAAAAATTACATGATAGGAAAAAGCAACTTTGGAAAGAAACTTCCTTTGCAGGATGACATCACTTTCAAAATGTGTTACAGATATGTAAACTGAAAAGAAATGAGAACAGTCTCCATGATCACATCTAAACTATCCATCACTATTCCCCCATGAGGTGGAGAAACCTTATTCATAGCATAGCAACAGATTTTACAAAAGCTGACACACCAATGAGAATGGAAGAGCTATGCAGGACAGTGCATGACACTTTATATACATAGATAGATACATATATATATGCATATACATATATATAGAGAGAAGACTTTTCCTTTTAAATTTCCATTTGATTTTGAAGATTTTTTTCTGAGAAGTCATTCATTCATACTTGACTTAAGCTCACTCTTGGTTTACCATTTCACTAATTAACTGCTCAAATGTTTATGTGAAAGGAGATGCTGTATAATTGGTGGTCCCAATTGCAGCATCACATCTACTTAGCAAAATCAGTATTTGAGCCTTTGGAAAGCCTGCATTTTGGGCTGGCTTTTGGGAAATAACTTGAGGTAAGCAAAAGGCAGAGAGGTGTGTCATCCACATGCCAACTACTCTCCTGGTTATTGAAAAGCTCAAAAGAAGTTTGCCAGGCAAATTGGCAGTTAATATAGCAGAACAATCATGGGTCAGCAACAAAGAGAATGAAAACAATGTATTTCCATACCTGTTGCTTCTTGAGTATTAGTTTCATCACTTTTTATATTTTCCTAAAAGCAAGGAATAAAATGTAACAGAATTAGAAAATGGAACTGATGTGTGATGAGAATAGTTACTCATCTGAAATTCCTTGTAGCCATTCTACTTCATAGAGAGATGGCTGCTTGACAGATATTCCCCATCTCGTTCCTACTCCACGATTAGAAGAACAAAGTTAATTCCTGGGTTATCCTTGACCTCTAGTTTTCTGCAAGGCTATATGGAGGTGTTTTTTTTTTTTTAATAACTTACTGGATTTGAAAATAAGAACAAAAGAGAAATTTGCTTTGGGTGCTACAGAATCAATGAAGCCACTACAGTTACCTTATTTAGATTTTCTGGTCCTGGAATGACATTGACATCACTCCTTACAGTATCAGTAGTAGAGGACAGGGAATCAATTTTCCTGTGTGAAAAAACAACATTCAGAGAGAGATGGCTAACAGTACAAAATACAGTATTAGAGATCACTAGCATTCTTGAAAGTACTGTTTGCTATCTGGAAATCAACACTGTCCGGTGTAATAAAGCATAATAAGTAATGAGGCAAGATTTGCTTATGACACAGTCACCCTATCCTGTCAGAACTTCAATCCATAGTAAATCAAAACATTGGTTTTCATGCTGCTATAAAATGAAAGGGGAAAAAGGCAGCACTTGCTCATGACTCGTTCCATTTAATTTTATGCAGTACTTTGTTCCGCAAATAGCTTTCCATTAATTTAACTTCCTTTCAATTTTTTACAACAGTGCTCAGAAAAGGGAAAGAAAAGGGGGAGAAAATCAAGGAAAGAAAGGAGGATGTGTTTTGCAATGTTTGCATTTTTAAGTCAGTAAAAATTCTAACAGGCAACAGACAACTTACACTGACATTACAATTGTTCTGTTTTTGACAAGACTATCTGAATAACTGGGATAACGTGAAGAATACACAAAAAGTATGCAGCCAATAGGCTGCCACACAGGTCTGCATAGGTGGTTCTGATTTTTTAGTTTTTCAGTGCTTGATTTTACAAACTTGCTAACATTCTTTAACCTATGTGTATGAGGGATAACCATCAAATTCTCTCAGATATCTTTACAGAACATACAAAATACAAATATGTATGATTCAAAGTCATTGCAGGAACTACGTGCTTACACACTATCAGATTTTTTTCCTGATCTATAAAAAATCTATTTGGGAATCATAATTACTGCATTTAAGTTACCTAGCGCTTTTTAAATTAATCATTAAGTTGTAACGGCAAAAAGCAGATCTAAGAACTAAGCGACAAAGTCACATTTAGGGGTGACCTTAAGGCATATTTCCATATATGAGGGATACTCTAGTCCTGTTAACCATCTTAGCAGCTCTCTGCTGAACTCACTCCAGCAACTCCATGTCCCTCTTGTACTGAAGATACTCCAGATGTGGCCTCACCAGAAGTAGGTAGAGGAAGAGGCTCACTTCCCTCAGTCTGCTGGCAACACTCCTCCTAACACAGCCCAGGACACCACTGGCCTTCTTGGCCACAAGGGTACATGGCAGGCTCATGATCTGCTTGTTGTCCAACAGGACTCCCAGCTCCTTCTCAGCAGAGCTGCTTTCCAGCAGGTCAATCCCCAATCTGTGCTGGTACAGGGGCTATTCCTGCCCAGGCGCAGGAACCCACACTTGCCTTTGTTGAACTTCACAAGGTTCCCTTCTGCCCATCTGTCCAGGCCCCTCTGAAAGGCAGCAGAGCCCTCTGTTGTATTGGCTACTCCTCACAGCTTGGTACCACCAGCAAAGGCTGAGGGTGCACTCTCTCCCTTCATCCCAGTGATTGATGAGTAAGTTGAAGAATACTGGACCGTATTGATCGCAGTATTGACCGCAGTGGACAGCAGTACCTACACG